GAGTGTGCCAAATGTGGAAAATTCTTCAGGGAAAGCTACAATCTTGCTGAACACCAGAAAATTCATACTAAAGCCAAGCCTTATAATTGTGATCAGTGTGGGAAGTGTTTTAGCCGGAGAGCTGACTTGGTTAAACACCAGAGAGTGCATACTGGTGAAAGGCCTTACACATGTGGTGAATGTGGGAAAACCTTCAGCCGAACTACCAACCTTGTTCAACACAGAAGAATTCACACAGGGGAACGGCCGTATGAGTGTGACCAGTGTGGGAAATCTTTTAGCCAAGTATCTACCCTCATTCGGCATCAGTTACTTCACACTGGAGAAAAACCCTATAAATGTAGCAAATGAGGGAAAGCCTGAACAACCGTCTAGCATCTTCTAACGCCAAAAATGTCACAGAATGGACAGAAAGTGTGGAAAGCCCTTCAACACTAGGTAGACCATCACAACTTGAAAACACCCTGAGACCTCCCAAGGATATTACATTGTTGTTCACTGTAGCAGAGTAGAGAGCCTCACACACGTGTTCAGAGGGGTAAAGTACTACATGAGTTAGTTCTAGGCATGTGTAATTTGTAGTTTGTTCCAGAGCGACCCTACACATTTTAGACAGTCTGTCTCCATGGCCAGAATTAAATAACCGCCATGAGGTCTCATAGAAACTGTCTCTGCCCTTGCACTGGGTGCATATGTCTCCCCCACTTCCCTACTGAAACCCATAACTGGCCTGTGCCTTGCAAATGACTGTAATCTATTTTTCTCACTGAATATGTCTGGGTCTGTATTTTGCCCTTAAGAACCTGGTATGGGGTTAGCTAGAGGCTTCAGAGAGGAATATCTTAATTTTTTGTCTCACATGATTCTTGGTGCTGTTTACAAGCTCCACACCACTAGCCGGTAATGCCCTGCCATTTCATGCAATAATAAAGGCCTTAGGCTTTTGTGTTTTTCCTGTGTACTTTTACTCAAGAGTATCGATTCACAGCCTTGGTGGGTAAACTACTGCGGTAGGCAGTTTGTACAGAGATTGGAACGGTGTTTGGAAGCCGCACTATTCATGCCTCAGTGTGGCTCCTGTCACGGGAAGGAGTAGCTCTCGTTTATGTCACTTTCTAAACTTCTGGTGGAACAAGGCAGGGTATTCCATCCTAGCTTTTTCCCTCAATGCCCGCTTTTTATTTCCTGTTGGGAGGAAGGTGTTTTGTTTGTATTTAGACCATAGATTACCCTGAAAGTGAGGTCAGTTGTTGGAAGTACAACATTCAGTGCTCTTAGAATAGTTTAAATTCATCCCATCATTGCCACATAGTCTGACATGATGCCCAAGATTGTTGAAGGGAACATTTTCATAGAACTAAGTCTGTGATACCAAGTGTCATTTGTCACTTGTAAAATTAGGGGAGCCAAATGGGAACAGTAACTGGTACATTAATTTGGGCTTTCATAAGTTAAGTATTTTATATAAGAACAAGGATAGCTGGGGATTACTTGAGAGACCATGGATATTGCATTACAGAAAATAATTTTCCCATATCTTATGTTCTGAAATTCTAACAGTCTGAATTCAGGCTGTGACATAATTATTTTTTGGCTACTTACAGCCAGATTTACAGTAAAAACCATCAACAAAAAAGCAGAGCAGGAAAATTCAAAAGCATGCGGGTTTGCCAGGAACAGAATGTTTTAGAGTTGCAGACAAAGCAGCCATAGTTGTTTATGGGAACCACACTGTTTAAAAGAAGGCAAGCACTTTGTACTAGGGCACAGAAGAATACATATGTGTCTGTGTACATGTATATATATATATGTATATGTTTATACGTATATATCTTGACGTCTCCAGGGTGTTAAACTATAAACTAAAAACTGTCTCTTTTAAAGAGTGCTGCTGAGATTTTATAAATAATTACCTAGGGAAATCCTTTCCTGGCTCGAGTTACCGCTGTGCAGGCCACTGCAGCTGTGGACCAAGGAGATTGTGTCTGTGCTTGAGCTGGCAGTATTGGTATCATTGACATGCTCGTTCTACAGGCAGGCAGAATGTAAGTTAGGGTGACCTGGAGGCTTTCACCAATTCTAGAGCATATCCTGAGGTGCTAAGTAGTGTGTGACATGGTCAGCTTCCACAGAAGCCTCTGGCGGGAGTTTCATGAAGCCTGAGAAACTGAGTAAATTGCATGTTGTATATCAGGAACATGGGATGTCTGCTGAGGAAGACTGTCAGCACTGGTTCAGTCCAGCGGAGGCTGTTCAAGCTACCAATAAGGCCTTGCGGGTAGGCATACTCAAGCTTGTTGGATCTCAGGTGATAGCATCTGTGATCCTGGTCCTGGAAGCGGTGCTACAGAATTTATTGTTTTCCATTCAGTTTTTTGTTTGTTTTTTGCTCTTCTTTGTTCCCCTTTCTCCCTTCTGTGGTCCAATTCTTCTTTTCTGAAATAGGAATGTTCAGTCTGTGCCACTGTATTTTCGACTTACATAACCTTCCTTTTGGTTTTTCTTGGCTCAGTTAAGACTTTACCTTTGGTCACAGAAGAAACTTTGAGCTTCTGAACAGCATTGGAACTGTTAAGACTGAAGACTCCTGAAGTTGAGCTAAATGCATTTTACATCATAAGATGGGTATGAGCCTGTTGAGGGCAGGGATGGAATTTTATGGTTTGAATCTGAAGTGCCTCTCATGTTTTAAAAAACTTGCTTCCCATATAGTAGTGCTATTTTAGCAGATGGTGGAGTGTTTGGGAGTTGAGGCACAGGTGGCAGGAGTTGGTCACTAGGAACAGGGCTTTTGAGGGGTATACCCAGCCCCTTTTTCAGAACCTGTGGGTTACAACCCCTTTGGGAGTCTCGTAGCAGATGGCTACATCGCAATTCAGAACAGTAGCAAAATTATTGTCATGGAGTAGCATCAAAAATGATTGTACAGTTGGGGGTAACCACAGCGAGGTGTTAAAGGGTCTCAGTGTTGTGTATGAGAACCACTGCTCTAGGTGTTGCTGCCCATGAGCTTAATACGAAGCTGTGTGCAGCTTGTGCCATGCTCCGGTGGCCTTGAACTAAGCTGCACCTTCCCTAGTCTGACATAATGAAACCCTTTGTAACTGAACCCATGTAAATCATTGCTTTGGTTATGGAAAATGAGCATGGTGATGTATAGCAGGTGTGCATTTGTGTGTACATTTTTATGGCATATGCATTGAACACAAAACTATCCATAAAACCATCATGATCTCAATGATGTTCCTATCCAGAATTTTTCTTCTCTTGTATAAGGTTTTCCATGGTGACTTGCTTTCTTTTATAATAGTTTAATTTGTAGCTTTTTAGAATTGCATTTGAAGGGAATCATAAAGTGTCCATTTCTAATTATATTCTCATTGGGCATTGTTTTTAGGTTTGCTAATGTTGCCTATATGAACACATCAACATTATTTTCATTGTTAAGCAGACTTCTGTGGGCAAGTCACTACATTTTCATCTGTTAATGGACAAATGGCTTGTTGCCAATTGAAAACTATCAATAAAGTTACAAAGAATGTAGGTGTTCAGTTCTCTTTTCGGAAAATATATTTTACTTATACTAGTGATTTCAGTTAAGGTAACTTTTACATTTAGAACTCTTCAAAATGGGTTTAAATTGATTGAGTCCTTTGTGATTCACATTAACAAGCACTCTGAGAATGTGCCGGCACTCTGGCTATATCTGTAACCCTACTGATCTCCAGGCTTGATTTGGATAGTGTGGCTGGGTAGGCAGGTATTCTCTCCTTCCCTCACTGCTCCATGTGTGTGCCTCCTGAAGCTGTGAGCTTGGTCCAAGAGGAAAACATTTCCTAGTAGAGAAGGAGCAATATTTGATCAAGAGAGTATGAGTAGCCGCTCTCTCCTGCTAGAACCTCCAAACAAGCACTCAAAAAAAATATTAAAAGGCTTAAAAGATGTCTCAGCAGTTAGGAGCTTGTACTGCTCTTTCAGTACACTCAAGTCCAGTTCCCAGCATCTGAATCAGATTGGTACTTGCTGACCTTGGCTCCAGCTTCAGAGATCTGACACCCTCTTCTGGCCTCTGTGGGCACACAGAGAGGAAGAGAAAGATATCAACAGAGGAGGTGGGAGAGGAAGAAACAGGAAGGGAAGAGGAACGGAAGGATGGAGGGAAGGAAGGAAAGAAGGAGGGAAAATACCACTTTAATGGCTGAGTGTTCGGCCCTAAATAAGACATTTATGTTATTCCCTCCAATTCTCCAGAAACACTACTGAAGAGGAGGCAAAAAAAAAAAAAAAGTCTGCAAGATAAGCGAGGGCCATCTTACCGGTAATACACAACCATATTAATCACTAACAGAACAACTACAGATGGCTCCAAATCTAGCTTTTTCCCTCCAGAGACCCAGGCCTCATCCAGCTCTATGTTGCCAGTCTACTTTTGTTCATAGAAAGAGATCCTAGGAGACTCTAAAACTTCAGATTTGTGTTGTCGTTTGGTTTGGTTTGTCTCATTGTTGCCATAAGTCAAATGGTTCTAGGTCTTTTTTTTTTTTTTTTATTTTATTTTATTCTATCTTATCATTTCATCTCATCTCATCTCATCAATCTCATTTTATTTTATATTTTACTACTCTGCATTCTCTACTGCAGTTCTCCCAGCCCAGGGAAGTCTGAAAGTGCAGGGTCGATCCTGGGCTCAGGAGTCTAAGGACTGGGGTCTTTCTTATCACACAGGACCCAAACTCAGTCTGAGAAGTTGTATATCTCGACCTGGTGCTGCCCTGTAGGTGGACTATTAGCCTTAAACTTCTAGCCGCTTTCAGAACTAGTTTGTCGGCACGAACCTGCCACTGAAGCCAATGGAGAATGCTGAGGAGATAAGGAAACTACGTTACCCACAATTCTTTAAGCCGAATGGCAAAAGGCTGAACCAATGATCTCTGAGAAGGGCCTTTTTGGTGCCCAGACCGATATCTGTGGGCAAGACTTCCTACATCTCTGCCAAATGGTCCCTGTAATTGCTTTAGGTTATGTCTGGCGATCAGCGACATAAGAGTGTGGCGTGGGGACCAAGGCGAGAAGAGAGGACGCGCACGGTCGCTAACGCTGGTCGCAGTGAGGATGCTGGAGCATTTGCAGTGTCTGAAGGCTGCTGCCGCAGTGGCGCAACCTGCTCAAGTAAGTACCGCTTTCTCCTGGACTCACCACAGTCCCAGATCCCTAAGAGAGGCCTTTTTCACGGCCCTACTGTAAAAATCCCTTTGTCCAGAACACTACCGTGCTTGTGAGTGGACTCCCTGCTACTCATGGCAGATGTGATGGGTTGAGAGTGGGACCCGCAAGGGACTGATTATTGACAGTTGAATGTCAAGTCTTGAGAGATTGAGCAGGACCATTTACGCCTTACAATGGGAAGATGAGGAATTTTACTTGTGTTTTAAAGGATCTGGGACCTCGAGAGGCTCGGAATGGAAGAACATGGTTTGAAGATAGTAGGTGTGGCCTGGAGGCATTAACCTTAAGGCCCAGGGAGGTTGAGTCTCCTAAGAGTCAGTTCTGAGCGTTTAATCCTAGGGATAACTCAAACCTAATAAGGCCGCATAGCTCCAGGATTGAACAGGGATTGCAGGGAGGCCTGAGCTTAGTAACCTTTCTTTCCATCGCTTCTCATGACCACAAAGGCGGTTGTGGAGTGTTCACAGGAAAGTAGAGAATGTTCCGCGGCTTCACTCTTCCTTGTCTCTGGAATTGTGTGCTAAGACCAATTGTTTTACCACACTTTCACCACATGGGGACTCTCAAGAACTCCCAAGCCAGAAGTGGAAACCCAGAAGCAAGGTTTAAATAGAAAGGTTTCTCCGGAAACTCTTAGCGAACAGTGGGTTTAGGATCCAGGCATGGATCCTATAATATGGAACTGAAATAAGAGGCTTAGATATCACAAGTTCCCTTTCCTTCCACTAAGCACTTAGAGCAGCAGAGCAGAAGAAGGCAGGCCTGGGATATTGCAGTGTCTATTGTGCAGATAATGGGAGCAGAAATGATTCTGTGTGATTTTTCTGGGTTCCTTGTGTCTGCAGCAAGAACAGACTATGGGGATAAAAGGAGGTGATTCACGCACGGGCACACACACACACGCACGCAGGCACTCACTCTAGGGTAGCAGCTATACTACCCTACTCCAAGTGATGGTTGGTATGGCTGAATCACTGTGGCAAACAGAGGCTCATAAAATGTGGATGGGTTCTGGTTTGCTTTTTCACTCAGGAAACCTGGATTTTTCTGTTTGGGGGGAATGAGAGAAGAGTGAAATAACTCAAGTGGTTCTACATTTTTAGATTTTTATCAGATGGAATTATATGTATGTATGTATATTTGTGCATGTATCATAATACATATATATTTATATTTATGATACACAAAGTTTTGTTTTGGCCACCTTAAGAATGAGGTCCATGTATGGACTGGACCTCAGTTCCCTACACATTTGTACATGATGGACAGCGTGGTCTTCTCTGGGTCCCCTAGCAAGGGATGTGGGGGCTATCTCTGACAAGGACACTCTTGCATCCTTTTCAGTCACTTCTCCCTGGTGGGGCTGCCTTGCTAGGCCACCATGGTAGAGCATGGGCTCAGTCCTGATACAATATGACGTGGTGAAACAGGTAGGCCAGCGGTTGGGGACTCTTCTTTTCTGAGGGGGAGAGTGGGGAGATATAGGAAAGAGAGAAGGAGTGTAGAACTGGGAGGAACTGTGCCTCAATTAGGGCACACACACTTTACCACAATTGTGATGTAAAGTGAATAAAAACAGCCAACAGAAAAAATTTTAAAAGTGTGAAGTGTATATCTGCATATGGATCTATACCCTTGTAACCCCAGCACTTGTGAGGTAGAGGAAGACAATCAAGAATTCAATATAAGTAGAAGCTATATTTTCATTTTAAACATATTTTAAACTCCATTTTAAAAATCTATTATTCTTGTATATGGTATTCTTGCATACCAGCACACCACAGCATGTGTATGAAGGTCAGAGGAAAACTCTGGAGTTGTCTCCTTCCACCTTTACTTGGGTTGCAGAGAGCAAGCCTGAGTCCTCAGGCCTGAGCAGCCAGTGCTTTCTCTCCTTTGAACCATCCCAGTAGCCATGGGCTAGATCTTCAAAAGGAAGTGAATGTGTGGTTTCGGAGAGCAGCTGTGAGCACATCCACTTGAAAGATGGCCCCTCAGATCAGGAACACTTGGAAAGATTAGGCTTGAAGAAATCTAAAAGGGCTGGCCTATAGGTGAAGACACCTATTTTGCCCTGGAATACAGCCCAACTTAACAGGAAATGGAATCAGCTTTATGTTGCTGAGCTCATCTACATATACTGGAGTCAATTAATCCTTGGACTACGTGTGTGTGCTGCTGCACCTGGGAAAGTCCTGGTGTTGATGTTCAAGAAAATAAGAGCAGGGACCATGACTAGGTCTAGTGACTTGAACATCTGAGTAGAGTTTGTGGGCATCAAAAAGATGAGCGAATAAAGGAAAGAAATTGAATGAGAATTAGGTGAGCAGGCAGGAATCAAAGGCTTCCATAGAAAGAGTGAATGTAATCAGATTTAGAAAACTTGGGTCAGTATGACAGTGTGGCCAGTGTGGGGTCTGTTCACCAGGCTTTGGGCACACCAGCATTTAGAAGTGTCTGAGGAGCCTCAGCCAGACAGGTGTGTTATCTTAGAGCTGTAAGTGCTTGTCTATGTGGCCTGGAGTGGAAAGCCTCTGCATTAACCTTCAGTTACTGAAGACAGGAAAGCTGTGCTTGGGGAAGCCATGTCAAGATAACCCAAGTTGAAGAAAACCATGGGGGTCTGTGATTTCTCAGATGGTTGCTGGTAGTTTTGGCTGTCATCTTGACACAGCCATCTTGATACAGCCTAAAGTAACTTGAGAAGGGATTCTCAATTAGGGCACTATCCAAATATGTCCCATTGTCATATCTGTATGGGACTGACTTAATTGGTAATTGAGAGAGTCCTTCCCACTACGTACAGCACCATTCCCTAGGTAGGTGGTCCTAGGCTGTATAAGAGAGCTAGCCAAGTGTGGGACTGTAAGTGATCCACAAAGCAGCATTCCTCCATGGTTTGTTTCAAGTTCTTGCTCAATTTCCTGCAATTTCATTGCATTTCTCAATGACCTGGAAGTATATACCAATAAACTCTTTCCTTCCCCAAGTTACTCTGGTCAAAGTGTTTTATCACAACACCAGGCAAGAATTAGAATAGTAATTGAAAGCAAAGTAAAGAACAGAAGAAGGAGGCATTGAAAGCTGAGTGAGAGCTACCCCTCACACTAGAAAGCACTGGAAGCCTGGGTTAGTATGGAAATCTGAATACCTTGTACTGATAATATGGGGAGACCAAGAAGGTGCTCATGGTATTATAAGGGGATAGATGTGGATTTTCACTTGAAACCATGTGAGAGAAAGAGAGAGAGAGATGATCCAAGGAGAAATGTGTACACAAAAGAGAAACTAGAGCTTCAAACCTGTAGATGGTGGTATTCAAAACATTACAATGAAGGGTCAGCTCACATATAGATGTGTGTGAAGAATACAATCTAGGGACTCTCAGGATAATTGTCAAATACAATGAGTTACACCCAGTGTTTGCTAAATTCTGAATTACATGGCTTCCTCCAGCATGCCTGTGGGTACTGTAGGAGACCACAGTGCTAATGAGGCAGTCATGAGAGGTGAGTGTAAGTGGCCTTGCAGCCTAGTATCACCCAAAGAGGTACAAAATAGGAAGTATGATATATAAAGGAAGGGTGTGCATGTGGGTGAACTTAGAATCCTAGGAGAGAAGTAGACCATTGAGTGATCTGTCCCCATCATGACAGGGCTGTGTGACCTTTGAGGACGTGGCTGTTTACTTCTCCCAGGAAGAATGGGAGCTCCTGGATGAAGCTCAGAGGCTACTGTATCTTGATGTGATGCTGAAGAACTTTGCACTTATAACCTCACTAGGTAAGATCCTCATGCTCGCCCCTGTGTGCTCATTTCCTTCTTTTCTCCATATCCAGACCAGACTGTAATCAGACTACTATTGCAGCCCTGTTGATTTTCCCGCTTCCTTAGTAGGTGTATTGTGGGTGCCACCACTGAGCTGTGTGCATTACCCTCAGCTGCCCAAACACTTAATAGTGTCACAAGATTCAATAAATATTCTAGATAGCAGGAGTCCTGCACTCAAAGCTATAGTTCCCACTTGACTTGGTCTCTCCTTGGCTAAGTGACTCTTCACAGCCATAGCGCCATTGCTCCACAATTTTTGTTTGTTTGTTTGTTTGTTTGTTTGTTTTGTTTTTCAAGACAGAGTTTCTCTGTATAGCCTTGACTCACTCTGTAGACCAAGGTGGCCTCAAACTCACAGAGATCTGCCTGCCTTTGCCTCCCTAGTGCTGGGATTAACAGTGTGCACCACTCCTGCCCAGCCACATTCTTATCTTCCTATCTGACATTTTTTTGCAGCTGCCTCTTTCAGGAATTATCAGTATTGTCATGACTGATGTTTGTGTGGACTGTGAACTGTTACCAGAACTTCATCTAGGCCACTTTTTGCAATCCTTATTTTTCTTCCTAATGGTCTTCCATGTACTGAATTATTCTAAACCACTACTGATCCTGTTCTTTTTTTTTCCCCAAGACTTGCATTATGCTGTTCACATGTACTTCTACAACTGGAAATCTGGGATGATTCCTGGTTTTCCCACAGCATGAAAGACAATATGAGTCTTAGGGAAAGCTTGGCCCTCATGAGTAACAACTGAGGCAGAAAATGACATCAGATATGTGCCCAAATCATCACAGAAATCTGTTATACAACAATTTGGAAATGCCACTAGCCATATCAGTTTCTGTATTTTCTTCACCACATCCAGTTTTTGCTTGTAGTGACAATTCTGGACTTTTGGTTTCTTTAAAAAACACAGAAATAGTATCAGTTTAATCTTAGGTGTGGAGATTTGCAGCTGCATCACAGCAGCTGACTATGATTTGCCTTATGCTCTATAAGAGGCATGGTTTTACGAGTTGCAGATAGTTTCTGCATTTGTGTGGTGTTTGGAATCCTGGGAACATTTCAGAGGGTATATAAATGCGAGAGCCCTGGTGGTGGTTGCTGGTCATTCGGGGGAGTTGATTGTAGGTTGTTATAGTCGTAATCAAAGAAAAAACAAAAAGGAAAAATTAGATTCAGAAATTTTTTCTCTCCCCTCTATTCTTCTTTTTCTCCTGTCTAGTGATAGGGAGTAAAACTGGGAAGATAAAGGGTTGGAAATGGAAGAACTCACAAGGTGGCAAAGCCAGCTACATTAGCTTGTCATTTTATCTATGCCTTCCTTCTCCACCTATTCAAACCTTTCTTCCATGCAAGCAAGCATCACTTGTCCCCTCATCAGTATTTTCCAAAACTTACCCATACTTAATATGCCTGTGAAGACTTATCACTAAATAGCACCACAAGCTTCCACAGTTAGAATCCTCTGGACTTAGACATGTGAAATGCGTTACAAGTCTACTCTTGTGAAAGAAGCATGTCCAACAGTTATATTGTTGGATTGTATGATGAAATAGGTTTTCAAAATATTTATAAAGATTAGTTGCATTGTGTGTGACCAACAAGAAAAGATGTTCATGGGGTCTGGATGTTTTTATGATACTAACAACCAGTTCCGCAATGCAGCAAATACTGCAAGTCTGTGTTTTGATTCAGACTTTATCCTGTCTATCAGGCATATGAAGTATGCCTCATATATTAAAGACTCAGTCTCTTCACTTCAGATCCCAGTTGTAAATAAAGTCTAGCATTTTCTATGCATGCCTATGAAAGTAGAAAATGTAAGAGTTCTCCCAACATGTCTGTAGTTTAATAATTTTCTAGAAAAACACACAAAACATAGAAAATGCTGTTGTGGAGGATGCAGTTCAGGAATTCCAAATGGAATAGCTTCATAGGCAAGGATCTGGGCAGAGGTCCAGCAAGATGGCTCAGCAGGTAAAAGCATCTGTGACCAAGTAGGGTGTTTCAAGTTCGATCCCCGGCCTCACATGGTGGAACTATATATAACCAAAAGTTTTCCTCTGGCTTCCACATAAGAAAGGGGAGATGGGAAGAAAGGGAGAAGGCAGAAAGAAGGGAGATAGAAAGAATGGGTAGGAGAGACAGAGACAAGGAAGAAATAAAGAAGGAAGGAAAGATTATTGGGTAAAAGGTTTGGCAACTTTCTGTCCTCTATGGACACACGAGTCTCCACTATCTCATCATAGTCATCAACCCAGATATTTTCTAAACCAGGTCATGTGGTGATTGTATTGAAGGTCTCATAAAAGGCATAAAGGCATGATTGATTTAATCATTGCTCATAACTGATTAACTGACTCCACTCCTCTCCCCTAAAGTTATAATCTGTCAGATCTTGGACTTTTCCAAGACTTGTCCAGAAAGGGACTCATGAGTGGCTCTAGGAACTGGTTAGCACATTAGCATACAGAGGCATTTTAGGATTAACAGTGGACCCAACTGGGGTATCCAACAGAGAAGAAGTGGAAATAATTCACACTCTAGACATTACATTTTATGTAAATGTTAACTCTTGAAAGCCTGGTTTTAACTTACTATAGGCTATTGTTTTTGTAGTAAAAGTACTAGACTAAGTAGTAGTATTAATGGTCTTTCTTTTGGTGCTGAATGTTGAACCCAGGATTTTTAACTTAAGAACCAGTCTACACTAAGCTGTATACCTAACTCAGTAATAACTTTTAAACAGGAATTCCATTGAGTCCATTTTCTTGAGCCATTTTATGTCTAAGACTATCTAAATTTGTTACTTCTCAAACTAGAGTTAGGCTATCTCATTGGCAGAATATTTTTGGTGGAGGAAGAAATATGGCCTTATGCTTCAATGTCTGGCCCTAAGACAGAACTGAGGAGTGTATTCTTAAATATTATTTGAAATGTGATTTTTGATATTGTTTCTGTGTTCTTTTTTGTGTTAGTTGGTCACTCTTATGCTGGCTGTGGTGGCACAGTAATTTAATCCCAGTACTTGGTAAACAAAGGCAGACAGATCTCTGTGAATTCAAGGCCAGCCTACTTTATATAGTAAGTTTCAGGACAACCAGGGCTTTGTAAAGAAATCCTGTCTCAAAACAAACAAACAACTGGCCACTTTTAAAAGAGTGAATGAGACATTCTTTCTAGCTAGAAGCATTCTTTAGGTGGTTAAAATATCATATGTGGAGAAAATAATAATAAAGTATCATTAATAAACACCACTCACAGTTAACATGACTTTCAACTGCATTTCTCTTCTTTCAGATTGTTGGCATGAATCAAAGCATGAAGAAAATCCTTCTGTACAATGTGTTTGTGTTGAACTGTCAAAAGCCAGGACTCCAAAGGCAGGTATACTCAGTGGAAAGACTCACCCCACTGACATCTGTGTTTCTATTTTGACAGACATTTTTCATCTAGATGATCTACCTGGACAAAAACTGTTTTTTGTAGAAGCCTGTTCAATCCTCCAAGGCCCAAAGCATCACAGTGCCAAGAGTCCATTAAGGGGAGATGTGGATGGTGACTCCCTTAAGAAAAACTGTGTACTCCATGAGTCAGGGAATCACTTCATCTACAGGAAAATTAGAAAGAACTTCGCAGCTAGACAGGAACTTCTCCAGTCCCAGAACAGTCCCAAAAATGAGAAGCCAAATGAACTCACCAAGTCTGTGGAGGCTAATGGTAGAAAAATTCACTTCAAGTCACAAGAATTCAGAAAACCTTCCAGACACAAACTTAAGCTAGTTCAGCACCCAAGGGTATGCACTGGAAAAATGGATTTTGAACCTAGCAAATGCAGACAAACCTTAGAAGATAAATCTTCACTTACACCATCCCAGAGAGTTTACACTGTAGAAAGACCATATGAGTGTAGTGAATGTGGAAAATCCTTTAGCCAAAAGGCCACACTTACTATACACCAGAGACTTCATACTGGAGAAAAACCATACAAATGTAGTGAATGTGGAAAGTCATTCAGTCAAAGCTCCAACCTCACTGAACACTCTAGAATCCACAGTGGAGAAAGACCTTATGAGTGTGGGGAGTGTGAGAAAGCCTTTAGATGCAAATCCAATCTGGTTCGGCATCAGAGGATTCACACAGGGGAGAGGCCATATGAGTGTGACAAATGTGGAAAATTGTTCAGGCAAAGCTTCAGCCTTGTTGAACACCAGCGAATTCACACTACAGCAAGGCCATATGAGTGCAACCAGTGTGAAAAATCCTTTAGTCAACGAGCCACTCTCATTATACATCAGAGAGTTCACACTGGAGAAAGGCCATATAAGTGTGGAGAATGTGGAAAATCCTTCAGCCAAAGCTCTAACCTTATTGAACACTGCCGCATTCATACTGGAGAAAAGCCTTATGAGTGTAAGGAGTGTGGGAAATCCTTTAGCCAAAAAGCTACCCTCATTAGACACCAGAGAATTCACACTGGAGAAAGGCCTTATGAGTGTAGGGAATGTGGGAAATTCTTCAGGCAAAACTTCAGCCTCATTGAACATGGTAGAATTCACACTACAACAAAGATTTATAAGTGTGGCCAGTGTGGGAAATCATTTAGCCAAAAAGCCACCCTTATCAGACACCAACGAGCTCACACAGGAGAAAGGCCTTATGAATGTGGAGAATGTGGGAAAGCCTTTGGGTACAAATCCAAACTTGATCGACATCAGAGAACTCACACTGGGGAAAGGCCTTATGAGTGTGCAGAATGTGGAAAATTCTTCAGGCAAAGCTACAGTCTTGTTGAACATCAGAGAATGCACACTAGCGCAAGGCCTTATGAGTGTGGACAATGTGGAAAGTCCTTTAGCCGGAGGGCTGCCTTTATTAAACACCAGAGAATTCACACTGGGGAAAGACCTTACACATGCGGTGAGTGTGGGAAAACCTTCAGCCGAAGTACCAGCCTTATTCAACATTGCAGAATTCACACTGGGGAAAGGCCCTATGAGTGTGGCCAGTGTGGGAAATCATTCAGGCAAAAGTCTGTTCTCATTCAGCACCAGGTTGTCCACCCTAAAGAAAGGCCTTATGAATGCACCAACTGTGATAAGTCTTTTAGCCAGCACTCAAGTTTCTTTCAACACAAAAAATGTCACAGCGCAGGGAAGATTCAGGAAGGCAGTGAATGTGGGAAGCTCTTTAACCCTATGTCTGACATATCTTCTGAAAGGCCACATTTTAAAAAGGCCGTAAAGCAATAGGTAATGTAATCTTTTCACTCAATAGATGAGCTGAACATTTACTGGTTTTTGTTTGTTTGAGATAGGGTCTCCCTATGTAGCCCTAGCTATCTTGGAACTCACTCTGTAGATCAGGCTGGCCTCAAACTTGCAGAGATCCATCTGCCTCTGCCTCCTAAGTGCTGGGATTAAAGCTGTGTGCCTCCACATGCAGCTAAAATGAGTTGAACTTTTTAAGCATCATGTAAAGCTCTTCATAAACATCTGGACCGGTAAAGTGCCCAGTGCCTTCCAGGCAGGTATGATGCACACAGGAGCGCCCTTCAGCAGTTCTCAATAATCTCCCTTGTGCAAGTTAAATCCCTGCCAGATCCTTTCATTGGTAGCTTCCCATCTTAGCACCTTTAGTATATATGCACATATACCTCCAACATGCCTATATTCCCCTAAAGAAAATTCTCAGTAGCCTGCACCAAAAAGTGACATATTTTCCTTTTCTGGTGGAATATATATGAGTCTTATGTTTGGTTGCTAAACAGGAAGCTTCTGGGGGAAGGCTTGCCTTCCTTTAAATTATTGGCCTAGCATTACTCTTTGTAGTTGAGGTTGACCTCATTCCCTTTTCTGACTGAATATGCATGGTTCTACCTGACCCTTGCCCTCTTCAGCTCACTAACCAGTAGCTTTCTGGGTAGCATTGGTCTGCTTTGTACAATATTGAAGGACTTATTCTCTCATGTAGTTTAAACAAGGGGCACTGCTTTTTGCCTTTGATGAGCAGAATCCTAACATAGGCCCAGTTTGTATAAAAAGCAAGACAGTTTTTATGAAGGCACCATTTTGTGTATCACAGTAGAGTCACTGGGAATAGTTGTCTTTCAGTGGTGTTTACACAGCTACCCAGTAACTACTTGCATTGCTCCCATTGTAGGAAAGAAAAGCTTCCTCTGGACCCAACTTTCTGCCTTGATGTCTTTAGTGTTACTGTTGTTTGTTTGTTTGTTTGTTTGTTTATGACTAGTGATCACCCCAAGGAAAGATTAGTTGTTTAACTACTGTTGGTGCTCCCTGATACATCTTGGATTTAATGCAATAAATATTCCTGCATAATTTTTACATTTAATGTCCAGTGCTGTTGAACAGAAGCATTTCATTTGGGTTCTGTGGGGGCACACATAATCTTTTGTCAATGGTTCCACAATTTATGTCATCAGGATCCAGGAAAGAGCAATAATTAGTACAAAAACAGTGTATGTTATAAATAAACTATAGCTCAATTAAAAACAAATAATAAATCATTTATATTAGCCCATTAATTTTATTTATTATTTTAAATTCCAACAGAGAGAAAAGACAAACGTTTTTATTATCATTTATTACATTTATTCACTTTGTATCCCGACTGTCCCACCTCCCTCGCGTCTCCTACCAATCTCACCCTCTCTCTCTCTTCTTCCCCTATGCCCCTCCCCTAGTTCACTGATAGGGGAGGTTGTCCTCCCCTTCCATATGACCTTAGCCTATTGGGTTTCATCAGGACTGGCTGTATTGGAAAAGACAAACTTTTATCTAGCTTATTTTCATCATTATTGCAATTTTTTTCTGTTTTGTATGCTTCATTTGGGATCTGTTTAAAGTACATTAAACTACATGACTTTATTTCATAAGAATTTAAAATAACCTGCAAATGGCAATATTCATCATACAGATTCTTACAACGTGAATCTTCATTCCTATTCTGCTAATCTAGAAGCCTTTTTAGAAAACCACTACAAGTGTCTTAATTTTATTCCTTATACCATGTGTGCTTGCCTTAGAATAAATTCCATGTAACTTTAAAAAAAAAAAAAAAAAAAAAAAAAAAAAAAAAAAAAAAAAAAAAA